GAGGGAAGGGCCGAGGGCGAGGTCTGTCTCCGCCAGAGGGCAGGCAGGGCAGCGGCGCCCGGATCGGGACCAGAGTCCGGGAGAGACGCCAAAGCCACCCAAGGAGGAGGGAAGGAAGGAGCTGGGCAGGCCAGAGCAGCAGGTCGGGAGGAAGGCAGGTAAGTCCCGGAGAAGGGGGCCCCGATCACCACCACTGGTGCCCCTCGGAAGGAAGGAAGTTAGGAAGCAAGCAAACAAGCCAGCCTCGGGGAAAGGGAAGGGAAGCTAAAGGAAAGGGGAGAGGAAAAAGGAAAGGAGAAGAGAAAGGGAAGAGAAAGAGGAAAAGAAAGGAAAAGGAGAAGAGAAAGGGAAGGGAAAGAGGGAAGGAGAAGAGGAAAGAAAGGAGAAGAGAAAGGGAAGAGAAAGAGGAAAGGGAAAGGAGAAGGAAAGGAGAAGAGAAAGGGAAGGGAAAGAAAAAGAGGGAAAGAAAGGAGAAGAGAAAGGGAAGAGAAAGAGGGAAGGAGAAGAGGAAAGAAAGGAGAAGAGAAAGGAAAGAGGAAAGGGAAAGGAGAAGGAAAGGAGAAGAGAAAGGGAAGGGAAAGAAAAAGAGGGAAAGAAAGGAGAAGAGAAAGGGAAGAGAAAGAGGAAAGGGAAAGGAGAAGGAAAGGAGAAAAAAAGGGAAAAGGGAAAAAGGAAAGGACGGGAGAGAAGGAAAGAAAAAATAGAAGGAAAGAGGAAGGAGAAGAGGAAGAAAGGAAGAGAAAGGGAAGAGAAGAGGAAAAGAAAGGAAAAGGAGGAGAAAGGAAAGAAGAAAGGAAGGAGAAGAGGAAAGAAAGGAGAAGAGAAAGGGAAGGGAAGAGGAAGAAGAGGAAAGAAAGGAGAAGAGAAAGGGAAGGGAAAGGGGAAAGGAAAGGAAAAGGAGAAGAGGAAAAAGGACAGGACAGGAAAAAGGAAATGGAAAAAGAAAGGAAAGGAAGGAAGAAAGGAGAAAAGAAGGGAAAAGGGAAAAAGGAAAGAACGGGAGGAAGGAATGAATAGGAAAGGAGAAGGGAAAGAGGAAAGGAAAGGAGAAAAAAGGAGGAAAGAAAGGAAAAGGAAAGGAGAAGAGAAAAGGAGAAGAGGAAAGAAAGGAGAAGAGAAAGGGAAGAGAAAGAGGATAGGAAAGGAAAAGGAGAAGAAAGGGAAAGAGGAAAGGAGAAGAAAAAGAGAAGAGGAAAGAAAGAAGAAGAGAAAGGGAAGAAAGAGGAAAGGAAAGAAAAGGGAGAGAAGAAAAGAAGGAAAGGAAGGAGAAAGGAAATAGAAAAGGAAGGAAAGAAGAAAAGGAGAAAGAAGGGAAAGGGAAAAGGAAGGAGGGAGAAAGAGAAAAGGAAAGGAGAAGGAAAGGGAAAAGGAAAGGGGGAAAGGAGAAGAGGAAAGAAAGGAAAAAGGAAAGAAGGAAAGAAAAAGAAAGGAAAGGAAAAAAAAGGAAAAAGGAAGGAAAAAGGAATGAAAAGGGAAGGAAAGAGGAAGGGAAAGAGGAAAGAAAGGAAAGGAAGGAAGGAAGGGAAAGGAAAGGGGAAGGGAAGAAAAAGGAGAAAAGAAGGAAAGAGAAGGAAAGGGAAAGAGAAAAGAAAGGGAAAGGAAAGAAGGAAAGGAAGAAAGGAAATAAGAAAGGAAGGGAAAAAAAGGGAAAAGAAAAAAGGAAAGGAAGGAGAAATGAATGAAAAGGAAAGGAGAAGGGAAAGAGGAAAAGGAAGGGGAAAAAGGAGAAAGGAAAGAAAGGAAAAGGGGAAGGAATGGATAGGAAAAAGGAAATGGAAAGGAAAGACGATAGGAGAAAAGAGAGGAAAAAAATAGGAAAGGACATGGGCTTTCAAGGACTGTAGCCTTCTCTGACAAAAGGGGCTGGTGTCTCACCAAACTACAACTCCTCTGATTCCATAGCATTGAGCCAGGGCAGTTCACGTGGTGATGATAAACCTCATTCACTACAGTGTGTTGCATCTCATCTGGATGCAATGGAGATATTGGATTCACTGACTGGAATCAGTGGCTTTGGACTTGGAAAAGAAACATTATGTTGGATGGATGCTCTGATATTATTGTTATTGTTATTACTACATGTACATAACATCACAATACACATGCACCTTAGGTCCAAGTGTCTGGAGTTCATTTCTGAATATTGGGTTCTTCCCAAGGGCCTAGGATATTAAAGATATTATTATTATTATTGTTATTATTATTATTATTATTATTATTATTATTATTATTAGAGATATATTGTTGTTGTTGTTGTTGTATTTTTTTCTATGTACATATCAGCACAGCACACATGCACCTTAGGTCAAAGTGTCTGGAGTTCATCTCTGAATATCAGGCTCTTCCCAAGGGCCTAGGATACTACAGACACACACACACAGATAGAGATAGATAGATAGAGATAGAGATAGAGATAGAGATAGATTGTTGTTGTTGTTGTTATTTATGTACACAACAACACAGCACCCATGCACCTTAGGTCCAAGTGTCTGGGGTTCGTCTCTGAATATCAGGCTCTTCCCAAGGGCCTAGGATACTACAGACACACACACACAGATAGAGATAGATAGAGATAGAGATAGAGATAGAGATAGATTGTTGTTGTTGTTGTTATTTATGTACACAACAACACAGCACCCATGCACCTTAGGTCCAAGTGTCTGGGGTTCGTCTCTGAATATCAGGCTCTTCCCAAGGGCCTAGGATACTACAGACACACACACACAGATAGAGATAGATAGAGATAGAGATAGAGATAGAGATAGATTGTTGTTGTTGTTGTTATTTATGTACACAACAACACAGCACCCATGCACCTTAGGTCCAAGTGTCTGGGGTTCGTCTCTGAATATCAGGCTCTTCCCAAGGGCCTAGGATACTACAGACACACACACACAGATAGAGATAGATAGAGATAGAGATAGAGATAGAGATAGATTGTTGTTGTTGTTGTTATTTATGTACACAACAACACAGCACCCATGCACCTTAGGTCCAAGTGTCTGGAGTTCGTCTCTGAATATCAGGCTCTTCCCAAGGGCCTAGGATACTACAGACACACACACACACACACACACAGATAGAGATAGAGATAAATAGAGATAGAGATAGATAGAGATAGAGATAGATTGTTGTTGTTGTTGTTATTTATGTACACAACAACACAGCACCCATGCACCTTAGGTCCAAGTGTCTGGAGTTCATCTCTGAATATCAGGCTCTTCCCAAGGGCCTAGGATACACAGACACACACAGATAGAGATAGAGATAAATAGAGATAGAGATAGATAGAGATAGAGATAGATTGTTGTTGTTGTTGTTATTTATGTACACAACAACACAGCACCCATGCACCTTAGGTCCAAGTGTCTGGAGTTCATCTCTGAATATCAGGCTCTTCCCAAGGGCCTAGGATACTACAGACACACACACACAGATAGAGATAGATAGATAGAGATAGAGATAGAGATAGATTGTTGTTGTTGTTATTTATGTACACAACAACACAGCACCCATGCACCTTAGGTCCAAGTGTCTGGAGTTCATCTCTGAATATCAGGCTCTTCCCAAGGGCCTAGGATACTACAGACACACACACACAGATAGAGATAGATAGATAGAGATAGAGATAGAGATAGATTGTTGTTGTTGTTATTTATGTACACAACAACACAGCACCCATGCACCTTAGGTCCAAGTGTCTGGAGTTCATCTCTGAATATCAGGCTCTTCCCAAGGGCCTAGGATACTACAGACACACACACACAGATAGAGATAGATAGATAGAGATAGAGATAGAGATAGATTGTTGTTGTTGTTGTTGTTATTTATGTACACAACAACACAGCACCCATGCACCTTAGGTCCAAGTGTCTGGAGTTCATCTCTGAATATCAGGCTCTTCCCAAGGGCCTAGGATACTACAGACACACACACACACACACACACACACACATACACAGATAGAGATAGAGATAGATAGAGATAGAGATAGAGATAGATAGAGATAGAGATAGAGATAGATAGAGATAGAGATAGATTGTTGTTGTTGTTGTTATTTATGTACACAACAACACAGCACCCATGCACCTTAGGTCCAAGTGTCTGGGGTTCGTCTCTGAATATCGGGCTCTTCCCAAGGCCTGGGATATTAGAGGTATGATTATCATTATTATTATTATTTACATGTACATAATAACACAGCACCCATGCACCTTAGGTACAAGTATCTGGGGTTCGTCTCTGAATATTAGGCTCTTCCCAAGGGCCTAGAATATTAGAGGTATCATTATTATTGTTATTATTATTTACATGTACATAACAACACAGCAGACATGCACATGAGGTCCAAGTGTCTGGGGTTCACCTCTGAATATTGGGCTCTTTCCAAGGGTCTGGGATATTAGCAGTATTTCTGCAGAATGTGCACAGTTCCAAGGAGTGCTTCCTTCCTTCTGCATTGATGTTCTGTCCAAATTAAGGCTCTTCCAGTGCTTTTTGAGGTTTCTTATAATGCCTCCAAGTGCACCAACCACTATTGGTACCACTGTTGTTTTCTTTTGCCATAGTTGCCCCATTTCCATTTGTAGGTCCTTGTATTTTGTGATCTTTTCCAGCTCTTTGTCCTCTACTCTGCCGTCACCTTGTACTTCAACATATATAATGAAATGTGTTTCTTTTCCACCACTGTTGTATCTTGTGTGTTATGTGGAAGGTGTTGATCCGTTTGGAGTCTCAAATCCCAGCGTATTTTTGCTTGTTTGGTTCCGGTGTCCTTTTCCGGCTTGTGTTCAGACCAGATTTTACTGTAGGGGAGGCCATACTTCTTGCAAAGGTTCCAGGGCACCATTGCTGCCAGCCTGTTGTGACGTTCCATATAGTCAGTCTGGGCTGTTTTCTTGCACCTGCCAATGAGGTGCTCCACTGTCTCGCCACTCTCTGCATAAATGGCACCTTGGGTCATTGTAGGACTTTTCAGTTTTTGTTTTTATTGCATTTGTTCATAAGGCTTGTTCTTATGCAACAAAAATCAGGCCTTCTGTTTATTATTATTATTATTATTATTATTATTATTATTATTATTAGCAGCTTAGGGACCTGGCAATGCCCAGGTTATTTGAGAAAGGCATTGTTTCTTTTGTGAAGTTTGGTAATATCA